GATTCTTGAATTCTTGATAACAACAGGTTGCATCACAACAAGGGAAGTACCTGGCAAAATGCTTCAACAGAATGGAGAAGTGTGAGAAGAAGCCAGAAGGACCGTTGAGGTTTAGAGGAGAGGGTCGACACAGGTTCCAACCATTCAGGTACAGACATTTTGGATCGTTTGCTCCACTGGGAGGGGAACAGACAGCAGCTGAACTGCCAGGGGATTGGGTCTCCATAGGACACAGCTCCCAGTGGCTTTGGTACTCTGTCTACGCTAGCAAACTGGTGAGCTGGCGCACGAGAACACTCGTTATCTCTGACTGGGCTCGACGCTTTGTCTTTGGCCGTGACTCTAGCAGCATCTAATCGAAACCAAACCCTCTTCTCGTTCTCCCCCACATTTTTTGTTCTCTTTTTCTACGGTTATCTTAATTTGCCTTGCTAGTTATCATCATTCTTGTCTTTTTTATCAACTCGAAAAACCGAAATCTGAGGGAATTTTGATCTTTACCCTCAAATCTTTATGTATGTTTTTGAAACCATTTGGAGCAACACAAACGCATATTTCTTAATTTATAAACCAACTCAAATATAACAAGAGATCACTTCTCTCACAAGTCACATTACACAACCACTTCATCCTCTTCTCTGTTTGTGCGACGGCTCTATGAACTTCATGCGGACACGATTCTATCCTCTCAACAACGCGATGCTGATCTCCTTCTCTACGGACCTCGATGGTAAATTAAGCTCATTGCAGAGCGACCAATCCCAATTTGAAAGTCAGGGTTGAAGGAAGGATTTGACCGTTGGTGAGATACAGGCCGGGACTATTGGACCTTTAATATAACAATGGCCCATTAGGCTTTTAATAAGGCCTAAATATTTCGACCCATCATCGTTTCAGATGGATGGATACTCCGTCGTCTCTCTCCCCCGTCTGAGACTTCGTCATCTTCCCAAAACCAACCAGAAAGGCTCTATGATCGGAGAACCGCCGTAACATGTGCTTTCTTCGCTTAATCTAAACTTTCTCCGTCACTGGGAATCTCATCTACTAGCACGCACACAATTATGCCCTCTGGTTGCAGTATCAGAGCTCTATGGATCATCAACAATCAGGACACTGTTGTCTTCTCCAGGTTTTGTAATCCATCAACACATTCTCATTCAATTCCTATTTCGCCCAATCCATACTCTTAAATTCATCTCGATTCAGGAGGTTCCCGGTCGTCGAGAAGCAATGGTGCTCAGCTTACAAGTCGGAAAACGAAAACGCTGGCTTAGATCTTCCTAGACTACCCACTGATCAACAAATCTCTAATGCCTTCACTCGAAGAAAGAGACGGTACGGCTCTCTCCCTTCTATTGCAGATTATTTCGAAATGTGAATTGAATTTGTAATCTGAATTAGGGAAGGCTCTACTCGTGGATATGGCATACGTGTAGCTCAATCGACTAAAGGATCGGATTCTTGGGTTGATGATCCCATCACTCGTCATATTATCAGTCTTTGTTTAAGCGAAGATGATGATGATGATGAGGATGAATCTAACAAGAATGAGAAGAACATTCTCTGGCCCATTGCCCTGCATACCAAAGCCCTTTACTCCATCCTCGTTTTGCCTTTGGTTGAGCCAAGGGAGATGAAGGATTACGTCAAGTTATGCAGGAGATCTGATTGTGGACCAGCTGTTGGTGAAGATTTGAGTTTGTCATCTCTCTTGCTTAACATTTCATCCATCACTGGGTACTTATAACTTCATCTCCCTCTCTCAAGGTTACCACTGAGTTGTATCCCTTTTCCTTGTTTCATATGCGTATAAGATCAGGGATAGGAAAATCACTTGTACAGACAATGGCAATGTACATGTTTTTGATCTCTTACCACATCGCCTACGAAAAAATGTTCAACCTTGTGGTTTTTACTCACTCGTGTTGCAGGGCTTTCATGGTGGCTCATGCATTTGGTGACATCATTTCTGGTGATACAGTGGAACCTGAGGTTGTTGTAAGTACTTCACCATCAGTTGGGGGATTGTTTGATTCGCTAACTGGAAGCATTGGTATCTCATCAAGGGCAAAACCCATAGCTGCACCGGTTGCATCTTCTTCCCCGTCTGGAGCTGCTACAAATGGAGCTACAGCATCGGATGATCCCAAAGCAGGATCGAGGTTACTGGATAGAGATTTACTTAGGAATTTTATAGCTAGTGCTATGCCGTTTGGTTAGTATTTTCCTTCTGTTAGTGTCCTCTGCTAGACCATTTGTTTCCTGATTTGTGTGCTATAAAACCTGGCATTTTTTAATCAATTCTGCAGGTACCCCATTAGACCTCAGCTTGTCTAATATCTCTGCTATGAAGGCGAATGGCTTTTCCTCTGCTGATTCTCCAATGCAAGAACTTAAGCAACCAGCATGGAAGCCATACTTGTACAAAGGAAAGCAAAGGTTATTGTTCACAATTCATGAGACCGTTAACGCTGCAATGTACGACCGAGATGAGATTCCTGATAATGTATCTGTTGCGGGACAGATAAACTGTCGGGCAGAGCTAGAAGGGCTGCCTGATGTATCGTTTCCTCTAGCAGGGCTGAGTACAGCTCACATCGAAGCTATATCTTTCCATCCATGTGCCCAAGTTCCAGCACATGGGATTGACAAGCAGAACATTGTTTTCCAGCCTCCCTTGGGCAACTTTGTTCTCATGCGCTACCAAGCAGGTTGTGGACTTGGACCACCAGTGAAAGGGTTCTATCAGCTGTCAATGGTCTCAGAAGACGAGGGTGCATTCCTCTACAAGGTCCACCTCATGGAAGGTTACAAGTCTCCTATGTCAATGGAATTTTGCACTATTACTATGCCCTTTCCACGGAGACGGATAGTGGCATTTGATGGGACTCCGTCAGCTGGGACTGTTTTAACCACAGAGCACTCTGTTGAGTGGAGGATTCTGGGCAACGGACGTAGCCTTTCTGGAAAAAGCCTTGAGGCAACTTTCCCCGGGACAATCAAGTTTAGCCCATTGCAGAGAAAAAGAAGAGTGGATGGGGATGACGAAGAGAGCGAGGGTGAGGGTGTAGAGAATGTGGTGAACGTGGAGGACTTCTTGGTGCAGAAAATGAACAAGGATCTCCCAGCAGTTGAGTTGGAGGAACCATTCTGCTGGCAAGCCTACGACTATGCCAAGGTATGCTTGTCTTTTGCTTCCTTTTAAAAGCTTTTGGATTTGGTTGTTGTTCAAATTTGTCTTCTGGAATACAGGTTTCGTTCAAGATTGTTGGTGCATCTGTCTCTCGAATGTCAATCGACACAAAATCAGTAAGCTTTTGCAAGTTGGAATGATTAGTTTACATTGTTACACCGGATTATCTGACTTAATATCGCCTCGCTTTGTTTTGGCAGGTCAATATCTACCCAACCACAAAGTCGCCGGTTGAGTTTTCCGCTCAGGTAAGACAACTGCCAATATATATATATATATCTGAAAGTCCCCAAGAAATGGTTGATAATAAGTGTGCGTTAACAGGTGACTTCAGGGGATTATATATTATGGAACACATTGGGGAAGGCTCCATCTGCAGCCGCCGTATAAATCCCCCAAATCTCCTGACCCTCACTGGTATTTGATTTGCCTATACCAAAGGTATTGCGAGATTTGAATTCTTTTGTTTTGTATTTTCTCTAGTGTGAAATCTTTAAATGTATGAGCATTTTTGGCCGCAGAAGTGGATCTGTACATTATTGTTGTTTCTTTTAAGATAAAAGAAGATTGAATGTTTTTAGTTGCAAATCTGTCTTGCATGATACATGATGTGACAATAAACTCATAAGGTGGTTACATTCATGAAATTGCCACTGTGTTTTTTTTTTGTGTACAAGCTAAGAAAGAAATTGTTACCACATATATATGAGAATGCTTCCTACTTACCTAGATTAAGTATGTAGTGCTCATAAGGTTTACAAAAGTAGAAGAAAATATTAATCATGTTATATAAACGGGAAAAATGTCATAAAAATCCCGAACTTTCAAATTTGGGATGATTTAATCACGAACTTTAAAGAAGTCATTTTAATCACAAAGTTTTGTTGACTTTTCCGTAAAATAGTTAAGTTTTGTTGACTTCACTTATTTAAGCATGACATTTAATTTTTGTTAAAAACTTAAAGATGTAGTTAACTATCTGTGAGCTGCTTTTGTTTAGCCTAAATGACCATGTTTCTTAGACGACAAAACGACGTTGAAAGTCGTTTTCTTCCTCCATGGGTCCGCGCTATGGCAACAATTCAACATGAAATAAAGAGAATTGGTGGATTTTTCTAGGGTTAGGGAGTTAGATTTGTGAATTATGAATCGATTTTGGAATTTAGTTTCTTCAGTTTGTTAAACGACGTCGTTTTGTGGTTTGAAAAAGAAGCAACTCACAGATAGTTAACCCCGTCTTTGCAATTTTAAGAGAAACTAAACGTCGTGTTTAAATCGGCTAAGTCAACAAAACTTAGCTATTTTAGGGAAAAATCAACAAAAGTTTGTGATTAAAATGACTTCTTTAAAGTTTAGGATTAAATCGTCCCAAATTGAAAGTTCGGGATTTTTATAACATTTTTCCCTTATATAAACTGGTTGAAACTTAAAAGATCGTGTTTGTTGGTGCCAAAGAGTCTTTTACACTGTCTCTGTAGTTTCCACTTTCCAATGAGCTTGGAAGAGCGACCGACAGATCTCTGATAATTAGTTAATGGTTAATTAATTTAAAATTGACATAATTTGAAGGAGATTACTATCGTAACCTCGATTCGTTTTTTTAATTTCTTTCAATTTAAAAGTGTGCTAAGCTAGAAGATGAGCTGTTGTTACCTTGAAAACTCCATTATATCTTAGCTTTAATTAAATAGGTTGTTAAATAATAAATTTCTTTCCAAATTCTCTTTATAAAAAACAAAAAAAGTGCGTGAAAACGTAATGGTAAAATGACTTGAAATGTAAACAAAGGTGGGACAATGGACAGAGTCAAGACAAGTTGTTCTTTTGAAAAGAGGATTACCTCATTAGAAAATTCACCAAATTGGTCAAATAAAGACGATGAGAGTTTTTTTTTGTAAGTCTTTGGGGTTTCAGATCTTAAAGCCCTTTCTTCCGAGATCTATTACCACTTTCCCTTCAAGTCCTTGTCTGAATTCTCTTTCCAAGAAGACACTACCTGAGTCTTGCTGTCTGAAGCCTCGGCGGCGGGAGGATGCATCTGCCGGAGGTTACAAATGGCGCTGGCTCTGGTTTTCCGGCGGTCTCCGTCGGAAGTAAGATGAATAAGTATCAGAGAATGGACTCAGACGGGGATGAATCGCAGAATCATCTTGAAGCAGAGGCAAGAAGCAGCAGAACCAGAAAATACGTTATGGCTTGTGCTTTTTTTGCGTCGTTGAACAATGTTCTTCTCGGCTACGGTGAGAGTTTTACATATATAATCATCTTCTTCTTCTTCCTCTTCCTCTTCTTTACTTTGTTGGCTAAGCAAAAGGTGTGTCCTCTGTTTTTGGTACTTGTCAGATGTTGGGGTAATGAGCGGTGCGGTGTTGTTCATTCAGCAGGATCTCAAAATAACGGAGGTGCAGACTGAAGTACTCATCGGCAGCCTCAGCATCATTTCTCTCTTCGGAAGTTTAGCCGGTGGTAGAACCTCTGACTCCATTGGTAGAAAATGGACTATGGCTTTGGCTGCTCTCGTCTTCCAGACAGGTGCTGCGGTGATGGCTGTGGCTCCGTCCTTCGAGGTTTTGATGATCGGAAGAACTTTGGCCGGCATTGGGATTGGACTTGGTGTCATGATCGCGCCGGTCTACATTGCTGAGATATCCCCAACTGTAGCAAGAGGCTTTTTCACGTCCTTCCCTGAGATCTTCATAAACTTGGGGATCTTGCTTGGCTATGTCTCCAACTACGCCTTCTCGGGGCTTTCCGTGCATATCAGCTGGAGGATCATGCTTGCCGTTGGTATTCTTCCTTCGGTTTTCATAGGATTTGCGCTGTGCGTGATCCCTGAGTCGCCGAGGTGGCTAGTGATGAAAGGCCGAGTGGACAGTGCACGAGAGGTGCTCATGAAGACGAATGAGCGAGACGACGAAGTGGAAGAGCGGCTCGCAGAGATACAACTGGCAGCTGCACATACAGAAGGCAGCCAGGAGAGACCCGTGTGGCGGGAGCTTCTAAGCCCATCTCCTGTTGTACGGAAAATGCTGATTGTTGGCTTTGGGATCCAATGTTTCCAGCAGATCACTGGTATCGACGCCACCGTCTACTATAGCCCAGAGATCCTGAAAGAAGCAGGGATACAAGACGAGACCAAACTGCTCGCTGCAACTGTCGCTGTTGGGGTCACAAAAACAGTGTTCATACTATTTGCTACCTTCCTGATCGATAGCGTTGGCCGAAAGCCACTGCTTTACGTGAGCACAATCGGGATGACTTTGTGTCTCTTTTGTCTAAGCTTCACGCTCACATTTCTCGGCCAAGGAACTCTTGGTATAACTTTGGCGCTTCTGTTTGTTTGCGGGAATGTTGCCTTCTTCTCTATAGGGATGGGACCTGTTTGCTGGGTCTTGACGTCAGAGATCTTCCCACTACGGCTAAGAGCCCAGGCCTCTGCGCTTGGGGCAGTTGGGAACAGGGTTTGCAGCGGTCTTGTGGCCATGTCCTTCCTCTCCGTCTCACGTGCCATCACTGTGGGAGGAACCTTCTTTGTCTTCTCCCTGGTCTCTGCGCTCTCAGTTATCTTTGTGTACCTGCTAGTCCCGGAGACAAGTGGCAAGTCGCTAGAGCAAATAGAGTTGATGTTTCAGGGAGGGCTGGAAAGAAAAGATGGTGAAGTTGAGCTTGGAGATGCTGAGCGTCTCGTTCGCAAGGAACAGGAGTTTTGAGTGTTATAATACTATGGGCAGTATTGAACTTGTTAAAGTAGAAGAGGCAGAAGAGACAAGATACTCCATGGTGTTCTTGTTTTAGGTCCAACGAATGTAAGACAGATTGTGTAAGTGCGTTTGATGATGGTTAATTGGTATAGACTCGAAGGTAACTGCTTTGTTTCCTTGTTTCAAGAAGAAACCATGTGATACTCAAGGCAATACAGAAAGGACGAACCTTTGTGTTCACTTCATGTTTCACATTCATAAAGTTAAACACTCTCCACAAAGATCTCGAGACATTTCCATTACACACCAACTCTAACAGACTCACATCAAACAACAACAACATTTTGCTTACAAAAGCACACACAATCTCTCTCCTTGTGCCTCCTCCATAACTAGAGAGAAGGATTCGATGGACAAAAACTATGGAGATGTATTATATGTAGAAGTTTAAAGCTCGTAACAGGGGAACCTGGCTTGAGATGGGTCGACCATGTCAAAGAAGAGATAGGCCATGCCTGCAACACCTTCAAACAAGGAATAAGGACTATCTCCTCCGTGCATTTCTCCTTGTGAGAGTAACTTAGGGCCTCTATCAAGCAAAAAGCTGGCAAAGGCTTTTGCACGGTACAGATACTCACTCCTTCCTGTAGCTCTATAGAGAGCGAGAAAAACATATGTATTCCCACTTATTCCATGACAGATCCCCACCCGCTTGAGCAATCCACGGTTCCAAACCACCTCTGCTGCAGCAGCACCCGCTTCCAGAAACTCTCTCTCCCCAAAAACCTGTGTTTTGTTTTCATTTCCCAGATATTAAACTGTCTCTCAGCAAAGTATAGAAAGCAATTGAAATACACACATTCTGACTAAAAAGGCATCATCACCTCAGCCGCCTTCACAAGTGTGAGGGCAATCCCAGGAGCTCCATGACACCAATGCACAAGAACATCTTTCCTTCTATCCTCTTCACTAGCAGGGTAATTTCCACTTGGAAACCGATTCTTAATCATATACCTCAGGGTTCCCTTGACATCCTCTGCCTCGTCTGGCTTCAGCTGAACATCCATCAAAACGTGCATAATACCAGCAAGGCCATGTGCTGCACCCCAGTACTTTCTGCCATACCATTCAAACATAAGCGGTGAGCTTCCATTCTTAGCCATTGATCGTCCTTCTTTGATAATCTCCTGAGCAACTTGGCGCTGCACACTGAAAGTCATTTAGAAACTAAAGGAGCCTCATTAAAAGCTTTTTCATCCTAAAGAAGTACACTTACAATGGTATCCGAAGATAAAGTTTCTTTACCAACGTATTTGTTGATGAACAAACAAGCCCATAGGTAACCAATTCTTCCATACAACAGCTCGTTCGGAAGATCACTAGATAGTCTTATCTGTTAAAAAATGCTAAATTCCAATCACACAATTAAAGAAAAATTGAACCAAAGAACAAAGTGGAGAAGACGCATACCAGACGAAATTGTGCCAAATAGTAATTGAGCAACTCCTCCTCACCAGAAAGCTTGGCTGCAGCGGCGCCGAGACCACAAACGCCGGCTCGGCCACAGAGAAAAGTAACATCCCTGCCAACAAGTCTCAAACTTTCACCAACAATTCAAAAGCAACTTCTTGTTTCTGTAGAACTAAGCTATTGGACAAGGAAGAAAAAGAAGATACCCTGAGGAAGCAGAAGCAGCATCACAAGCTTTAACGATTTCTAAGCAGAGGGAAAGGTCATTGGCATTTCTAGTGACCTGATAAGCTCTAAAGAGTAAAAACGCAGCTCCAAGTGTTCCAGAGTAAAGAGTGAAGTCTTCAACAGTCTGCCCACTAAAACCCCAAGTGTTCATCACTACCTGAGAGAGACACACTTATTGAAAACCATTTCAAAGCAACCCTAATCACGAGGAAGAAGAGTAGATTAGCGCGTACGGTTTCTTTGAGATCCAAAGCGGATCGCTTGAGGTGCTGCGAGAGAGACGAATACGGCATAACGAGCAGATTACTAAGAGAATCTCCTCCAGCTTCACTTTCCTTCACGAAATCAGGCATCACGTTATCGAAGAACCGATCCGCCATTGTCTTCTCTTTCGTTAAAGCTCAAAATCGAAGCAAAATGTTTTAAGCTTTCTAGAAGAAGAAGAAGAAGAAGAAAGACTTAAACGACATCGTTTAGACGATCGGTTCGGTGAGTTGGTTACACGTTTTGGTCAACGTGGCCTTTTTCTTTTAATAATGAGTCAGATCTACGCCTAACGTCGAAACGACATCGTTTAAGGCGCTTCTCTTCTCTTCTCTTCCTTGTTCTGAAAATCAAACAAACGAGCGAGAGATCAAAAAAGTCCCAAGACGAGAGAGAGAATCTGTGATCTGAAAGGCTCCTTTAACCATGGCGACTTTTGACGACGGAGATTTCCCAGCTCAAACTCATTCTCCGTCTGAACACGACGACTTTGGCTACGATAATTTCTCCGAAGCTCAGCCACCTCCGACTCAGCACCCATCCGGTGGATTCTCCTCTTTTAATGGTGATGGAGCTTATGGATCTGAGAATCCTGCTTCCCCTAACGGCTACGGATTTGGTGCTTCCTCACCTAACCATGAGTTTTCCTCTCCTTTTGAGTCTTCCGCCAATGATGCTAACGGAAACGGCGGCGGCACCGACGACGCGATCTTCGCTTCCGATGGCCCCGTTCTTCCAGATCCGATTGAGATGAGGGAGGAGGGTTTCCAACGCCGTGAGTGGCGCCGGTTAGTGTTCTGATTCTCGCTGTTTTATTTATTTTCTTGTTATGGAATAACACTAGATCTCGAGCTTGTGACTTTGGTGGATAAGTAGATCTCTCAGTGTCTTCTTAGGTAGAAAATTTATTGATTTGAGCTTTGATTATGTGATCTTCCAGAATCCAAATTTAAGAATCTTGTAGAATGGTACAAAGTATTGTCATTGCCTCATTTGGGAGAGGCTTACTGATAGTAATGTGTGTTTTGACGAGTAGCTAAGGGTATATTGAAGTAGATCGCGGTTGGTTTGTTCAATCGGAGTTCAATTGTAATTCCTCTGTGATCTGATTTGGATTAAGAAAGAACGTGACTAGTATATGTTGCAATACCTCTGTGATCTGATTTGGAATAAGAAAGAACCCTGACTAGTTTATGTTGCAATTTCTCTGTGATCTGATTTGGAATAAGAAAGAACCTGACTAGTCTATGTTGCAATTCCTCTGTGATTTGATTTGAAATAAGAAAGAACCTTGACTAGTACATGTGTGCTTAGCTATGTACTTCATCTGTGATGTAGCAATTCTGAATCAGATTAAACTTGAACTACCTTTGTTTTTTGTTCATCATATACGAAAGAATCTCTGTGATCTGAACTGGAATAGGAAAGAATCCGAATAGTGTATGTGTTGTATCTATCATCTTCTTATCTGATGTGTCAATTCTGTATCAGACAGAATTGAACCACCATGCTTTTTTTTTACGTGTATAAAAGAATCTACTGTGATCTGGCTTGGAGTAAGAAAGAACCTGAATAGTATATATGTCATAACTATCATCTTCTTCAGTGGTGTGTCAATTCCGTATCAGATTAAACTGGAACCACCATGCTTTTGTTGTCAACATATATGAAACTGATATTTTGGCACGCATTGGTGCAGTCTAAACGCCATTCACCTTGAGGAGAAGGAAAAGAAAGAGAAGGAGATGCGGAACCAGATCATAACTGAAGCAGAAGAATACAAGAAAGCCTTCTATGAGAAAAGAGAGAAGACCATTGAAACCAACAAGACTGATAACCGTGAAAAGGAAAAGGTAAGCAGTGATAGAATTCCTAATTGCAGCCATTTAAGACACTTAGGTCCATTGGAAACTTGTGTGAATTTTGCCTCTCTTGCAGCTATACTGGGCTAACCAAGAGAAGTTCCACAAAGACGTTGACAAGCATTACTGGAAAGCAATTGCAGAGCTAATCCCGCGTGAGGTTCCCAACATCGAGAAGAGAGGGAAAAAGGATCCGGACAAGAAACCATCAGTGAATGTTATCCAAGGTCCTAAACCTGGGAAGCCAACTGATCTAGGGAGAATGAGGCAGATATTCTTGAAGCTCAAGACAAATCCCCCACCCCACATGATGCCGCCTCCTCCTCCAGCCAAAGATGCCAAAGATGGGAAAGATGCCAAAGATAGCAAGGATGCAAAAGGTGGGAAAGATGGTAAGGATGCAAAAGGAGGGAAGGACGCCAAGGACTTAAAAGATGGGAAACCTGCTGATCCAAAGGCGACAGAGGAAAAACCTGCCTCACCTGCCAAAGACGCAAGTGTTGAAACAGCAAAACCCGAAGCTGCTGCCTCAGGAGAGGGAGAGAAACCTGTGGCTGTAGCTGAGGCTGAGGGAGCCAAGGCGGAGTGAAAAATGTCTTTAGTATAACTGTTGGGGGATTATTTGATATTGAAGTCACAATAGCTGCGGGCGAAATAAGAAGGGGTTAGTTATGTGCGCAAAGAAGCTCTATCTGTGGGCACAACATTTCTTCTTCTGGAGAGAGAATTTTTAGTCCTTTTGTTTTTTTTGGTTATTATTTTTTCATTATCAATATATTTGTTCTGCAAAAATTTGGTTATTGTCTTGGATGATGATGTTCACTTTAAAATCATTTTGGTTCCACTTAATTTCATTTATGTGTGCACATTTATAAGAACTTTGATCAGAAGTAAAGGTTGTTGGATGAATCATTGGATTGTATGTATTAATAATGTGGGCGTAATGTGGTCGAGAGGGGTCGTGGCATGTGAGCCATCTTTTACATTATTATTTTTTGTAGTGACTTTGATAATGAGGCACGTGGTGTGGTGGTCAGGGTCCAGTTGTTTCGTCTCTTTCCAGGCGCGCACACACCATCACCATGTATGTAGGAACGAGAACATGTTACTAGAAAGTGAACGATAACACACATTCATTTGAGGTGCTATTATTTCTTGAAAAGAGTCAGCCAAGTTGTCTTGTCTTTAGAGGAAGTGGGGCTGGCAAAAGAGTTGGATTCAAATGGAATGAGATTGCATTTTACATTATTACACTTTTTTCTGTAGATTATTATATAGTAATGTCCCACAAACAAGATTTATAGATGATGATGATACACACATCCTTATGGACAAGGAAAAAAAAAGGAAAAGGGACAACATCGAAAGTTAGTAGTCACACGCACATTGCAAGCTCTTGTTCCCCTAACTTTGGAGATGGCTACAGTTGGAATTCTGATATTGCTTACTGTTTGCTCGTTGTCCTCTTTGTGTTACTCTCTCCCGCAACCAAAAAAAAACAGAAGAGATGCTACCTAGAGAACAGGGGAGAAGTTGAGCCGAGAGGTGTAAGTAGCTTTGGGAACCCAGTTACTTGGGATGACGTCGGTGGCAGAGAGAGTCTTGTTGTTGGACAAAGTAGTGAGCTTGACTGAGAAAGGTCCCTTGAGTGGTCCTTCAACGATGCACCAGTTTGCTCCCCATATGTGCTTCATTGCTATCCACTCCTTAGACCCGGCCTTCATAATTCAAAATATATACAACAAATTAAGTTATTATACTAATTAAGGGAAGAAGAATATGACATTTTGTATACTAATTAAGGGAGAGAGTAATACTTGACGAATGTGCATAGAGCCAATGTCTCCTTCACCATCTTCATACTCAATGAGAAGAGATAGCCAATAAGCAGTTGATCCTGCGTTCACATGGAACGCTATGTTCTTCCCTCTGTACTTGCATGCTGTTCTGTTTTTTTTGTTCATAAAAACAAATCACAAGTGTTAAGTGTTTTGTTGTTGTGTGTCAGAGATCCATAGGTGTGTGTTGTGTAGTCAATGGTCAAAACTACGGGACCATCGAAAACAACCAGAACGCCGTTAAAGTTTCTATATTTGTTTACTCCTCCCAATGTAATATATATTTACTCAATTTGTTGGTTAGCATTTGGAACTAATTGGGAAGTAAAAAAAATAAAAATAATAAGTTGGTTTAAATAGAGCGCGAAGAGGTACCGGCGGTAGAGGATGTTTAACAGACCACGGTTGCGGATGACGCCGTTATGGCCGGGAATAGCCATATGTCCAAAGGCGGCACCACTTAGGTCGAAGTGAGTGTGTTTTGCTTTAGCAGATGGTCCTGACGGTGACTGGTCGGTGACAATAATGGTGACAGCTCTCTTAGAGCAAATGGTCTTGTCGAGACACCTGACCTTGTAACATGCACCGCAGCCTTCGCCGCTCTTGAACAGAATCGGACTCACCGCACCAACCCTTGCTCTAAACGGCTTCACGTCCACTAGCGACCCGTAACCACAAGCTCCTCCTGCGCCGTTTCATTAATAAGCCATTATAACATTACTGTTTTTTTGGTTTCACTAACGTTTAGAATTGATTTCACAGTAATTAAATGCCTTAAAAAGTTTATGTAAAACTGTAAAAGAGATGTAATGTCTTTACCGCTACTGCCGTCGCCCTCGGCACTCCCGTACCAGGTGGCCGTGGCGGGTAGCCAATGAGAGGCTGCCACGCGTTGAGGGGAGTGAGACAACGGTGGAGGAGAGCAAGAACCGCCTCTAAGAAGGTGGAGGAAGACGCATAGTGTCGGTAGGATGAGAGGAAAGAGCTGCATTTTGACTGACCACCGGAGAAACTAACCAAAACACACAAAAAAAAGTGGTGGAGGAGTGAGAGTGTGAAAGAATGGTTTGGTTTATTAGTTGGTTAAATATAGAAGAATTGGAAAAAGCCTTTAGTATCAAAAAAATCAATAATAATTGATACATTGAGGCCATGAGAGGACCTAACAGTGACAGACTGACAGTTAGGGGCCTTGATATAGCACGATCCCGTAGGGTAAAGCCTTGGTTGGTTGGTTGGGACAAGATTCTTCCGTTACTCTTACACTTCTTCTACTACTTCTTACTCTTACAAAATAATATAGTATAGTTGATGATATTTGTTTTCGATTAGTAAAGTATTAAAGCAGTAATCATTATATAGTTGTGCTTTGAATTACCAATCAAATTAAACTTATATAGGTATTTGTTTTGATTTGAACTGGATATAAAAGTTCTCTTCATTATTTAACAAATTGAACACCAAATTATAATTAGTAACAATTTGCATGTTAAAAATAGCTAGTTTACCTTTATGTAAATAAGAGAATGATGAAAATGTCGCTATTAGGCGATCGAGGAATAATAATATAACAATAAAAAAAAGTGTATCTGATCTTATTCGTTTTATATGATAAGATTGAAAAATATGGAATCTTGATTGGCCAATCTCTTGTCCACAGCGCATAAATCATTTCAGCACTCAATCGAAGATACTATTATTATTCTTTTTAACTGTTTCCAAGTTTCGTATTTGTTTTTTTGCTATTCAACGACCACCAAACCCATAAGCTTATTTTACACTTTCATTATAGTATATAGTTTTAGGCAGACCGCACATGCATGATTCAGCCATAACCCTTACTTTTGATTATTCGACCCTTCTTCTATACTCTTTTTTACCTATCTTTCCAAAATGGCTTATCATGTTTTGCCACGCATTGCATCATCGCATGACCCATATAGAATACTTTGCAGTTCCAGGGTGAAAGAGCCAATATCAACTTAACAAATCTATGGTACTATACTGGTTAGGCTTTCTTAGGTCTTGACATGAGGTGAGATCACATGAGCTATCATGCATCAATGATCTTTAACTTAATTATAATTGTTGTAATATACTTTATAAGTTAATTTCTTAATTAATTAACTAACAATCATCATGAATACTAGCTAGATACATGTATGCATGTGTGAATTATCAAAGACTAGTGAAATATTTTATTGATGAGAATGAACCAAATGAGAATGCTTTGGTGAAAGTGGAAAAGTCAAATTGAATTATTGGAGAATGACAACAAGAAAAAAGATGTTATTACGTAATTATGTTCAATGAAATTACAAAGAAAGACTCACATGAGAGAGCATCAATAAATAAAATAAAACAGTTCATATAGGAATCTTACAGTTCACATTTTACATTCTCAATTAATTCCTTCCTTTCACATAATATTTACACTATTAAAAGACTTTTTTTTTTTTATTACAATCTCTTCCCATGTTCCCCATTAGGCATATGCATACATACCTAAGAATTAATTCCTTCGATTATATTATTTGCATACCTCTGTATTTTAAACGAATATTATGTGAACACCTCCATACGAATCCATCCTTAATAACGATGATTAGTGATATGGTTTTGATGCAAGATTGGAATCACTCAAACTTTAGATCACACAAGAATCAAGAGATTTTAATCTTACCTTGCGGAAGGTGAAATTCACGAATTGGTTATGAAGTATCCTCTCGTGAATTAAGGGGTAGTACATAGGATATAGACAAGGTGATTAATTCACTTAATCAATGGAATAACCGACTTACTTAATCAGTGAACAAATAAAGTATGTTAAATCACTCAACGAATTTAAAGTACTAAGTGACTCACTCACAAAAAAACTAAAAAACAAAAATGACAAAAACTCAAATTTTGACAAAAATAAAACTTTTTATTACTTTAAAATGATCAAGGCTGAATTTACAATGTGTCTATGTGAGTGCCTTGAAAAGGTAAAGCCTTTTATAGTGGCTTACCTAGGAATTAAGGATCAAGAAAAATGAGGTATAACATTGTTCGATTTCTTAATTTTGCTTTCTTCGAAAAACCATGCAGATTTTGTTTCCTTTGATGAGGACTTGATTTTCTCAGTTGGTTGATCATTTGATGAAGCAATTTGAAAGAGATTGTTAATCACTACAGTAGTCATGATGAGTTAATTCTAAAAAACAGAATGAGAATAGAATTGTTACAACATTAATCTTTTGAAGATGCAATATTAATGATATAGTCTATATATAGACCCAAAGATTAAACAAGATTCTCCGGCTCTGAAGACAGGTTCATGTCTCTGGCTGTTATAGTGTTTGTGTAGATGAGATTGTGTCTGGTGAAGAAGAAGATGGTAAATGAAGAAGCTCTCTACAATGCATGTCACTTTTGTATAATCGAACTTCTTAGCTACGTTTTTTTTTTGTTTTTTTTTCGTGATGTGTTTTTTTTTTTTGTTGAAAACTTGAAAAATCGTATTTAAGATAATGTATCACAGGATAAATATTTAATCTAAATACAATACTAAATTTTACGTAAACTTAAAACTGTAAAAAATGATATCATTTTACGTAAAAATTAAAAATTATTCAAGGGACACTTATATTTTTGGTGAAATGTTACTATATAGACACTTATGTTTTGGTCAAATGTTACCATATGGACACTTTGATTTTGGTCATATTGTTACCATATAGACACTTTTATTTTGGTCAAATGTACCATACATGGACACTTTTATTTTGGTCAAATGTTACCATATAGACACTTTAATTTTGGTCAAATGTACCATATATGGACACTTTTATTTTGGTCAAATGTAACCATATAGACACTTCATTAGTAATTACTAATTACCATATCATTAGATATATTTATTGAAATATGTGTTACCAAGCTCATGTGTATGTGTATATATCCTTAATCATGTAAGAAAAGTTTATTACAAAGATTAAAGAATGGGAAAATATTTGGTTTTTTTGTTTTTTTTCCTCTTTTCCTTTGATTCTATAAATTCATCGATTTCTCCTTTCTTCAAAACATTTCATCTCCAAATTGTAAATCGGCTTGAGTTTCACAAGAAACTTAAAATTCAGTGCGAGAGTGACAGTTTTCAGAGTTATCGTCTTCCAACTACCTATATTAACATAGGCGAGAGTTATCAACTTAAATTTATAATTCTTCCAAATGTTATGTATCGATGTAGCTTATGGCAGGTAAAAACTATATTTTAAGCTTTTATATATATCTTTACATATTTTTTGGTATATTAATTAGGGATGAGCTTTGTATTATTGAAAAATTCGAATATTTTATGGAATAAATCCTCTTTTTTAATATTTCATGGATTTTAAAAGGGTGAATGGATTTTTAAATGAATTTAATTTTGATTTTCTTTAAAGCATTTTGTTCTATATAAAATCTGCTCAACTGATTGAAAAAATTGGTTAGTTAAAACTAATTTGAATATTCACTCAATACATTGTTGACTGTACAATAAAGTTTAAACAATTTTCGTTTTTGTGTTTTAGGGACCAAATTATAAACATAATGTGTATTTTAAAGCTTTCATTCCGAGCCAAAGTTTTATAGATGATACATGTAATGGAATGAACCCGAATGTGTGTATGTGGATTGCAAAAGAACGAGGAGTTTATGTCCGCCACGACAAATTTCTAAGAGAGTATTTCAGGTATGGATGGGATACTCCAACAGAACAAAGAGAAATCGCTCCGGTCAGTGCACTTACAAGTGAATCATAATTTGATTCATAAGTCTAATAAAATTCTGAAAACTATTTTAAATAGTTATGTGCAATCTTGTATTGTTGGATCATGTTGAAGAGAATAATAATAAAGTTTTAGATTATGAGCTTTAACTTCAATTTGGGATAATTTCTGATATTATATGATTTAATGTTTTTCTTTATAAATGAATTTTGATTTTCAAAGTTAGTAACTCTTTTGATCGCGACATGTATTAATTTGATCCGTTAGAGATTTTGACATATGATTTTAATGAGCATATTCTCAATAAGACTATAAATAATAAAATGATTTATTAATTTTAGTTTTAGGTGACTAATTCTATTAGATAAATGGTTAAAAAAAATTTCTTAAAAATAGAAAAAGAATTAAGGAAATTTTACAATTAATTAATTAATATACAGTAATATATACCATAATTAAATAAATCATATAGTCAATGATCAGATAAAATTAAGGATTGTAAATACTCAAATCTATATTTATAATAACTTATCTCATACTGTACATTCGTTAGATATTCTTATATGTCTAATGCTTAATAATTATCATAAACCTGTCAATAGTAATGCCTAGGAACATATTGGTAGGAGAATATTCCTGTTCTTTAGTTGTATTAAATTGGTAGAAAGATATTCCAATGATTTTGTATTTATAAGAAACTGAAAGAATTAGGAATGTTTTTCTACCATGTCATTTGTTTCCTTCTTTACCTGCTCGAAGGTGAGGACTTTGTAACTTCTCTTTCGTTGCACCATGCATGTATCAGTTACTCCATTCCAAGTCAAATTAAATTGTATAGTCGGTTCACTCTGTTTTTGGTACGTATATCTCACGTGGTGTTCTTAGTTGATCACACGGCTGCCTTAAACATGGTATAATAAAGTTGGTATTTCAACAAAATTAAAGGTGTGATGGAGAGAGTACAGTCTCTTATAGTGGCTTACGAGGGAATCAAGGATCAAGAGAAATGAGAGGCGATATTGTTCGATTTCTTAATTTTACTTTCTATGAAAAAACCATGTAAATTTTGTTTCCTTTGAGGATGACTTGATTTTCTCACTTTGTTGATCATTTGATGAAGCAATTTAAAAGAGATTGTTAATCACTACAAAGGTTATGATGATTTTATCCTAAGAAACATAATGAGAATATAATTGTTACAACAATCTCTTGAAGATACAGTATTAACGCTATAGACCAAAAGATTAAAGAAGATTCCCCAGCTATGGAGACATGTTCATGTCTATGGCTGTTTTAGTATTTGTGTTCATGTCTATAGCTGTTTTAGTATTTGTGTCTGATGAAGAAGAAGACGGTAAATGAAGAAGCTCTCTACAAAGCATGTCACTTTTGTATAATCGAACATCTTAGCTACAATTTTTTTTTTTTTTTTGAAAACTTGAAAAATCGTAGTTAAGATAATGTACCACAGGATAAATAACATTTAATCATATAATTATAATCTATATATATAAAGTTAGCTTTTTCTCTTTTCTCATGATGCCACCTAAGCATCTACCTAATCCACATTTTTGTTTAAACATTAAAATAATTTAAAACATTAATTTAGTGCATATTTATGTTACTTATTTAATTAATAGAAAGTTTATATAAATAATAATAAATTATGTAAAATAAATGAAATAATAATAAATTATGTAAAAAATGAAATGTTAAAATAAGAAAAACAATACTTTAATTTTTTATTAGTGGTAATAATATAACTCAATTTTCATTTTAAATTGATCATAATTTAATTTTTTAAATATGTTACCGAGTTTTAGAATGTAAGTAAAATTTAAATTTATGGTAGACTAAAACAACATTTATGTAATTGTATGTATCTATATATATAAAGTTAGCTTTTTCTCTCTTCTCAGTATGTCACCTATAAACCACATTTTTGTCTACATTAAAATAAATTTAAAACATTCATTTAGTGCATATTTATGCTACTTATTTAATTAATGGAAAATTTATATAAATAAAAATAAATTATGTAAATAAATGAAATTTTAAATAAGAAATACTTTCATTTTATATTAATTAGTGGTAATAATATAATTCAACTTTCATTTTAAATTGATCATAGTTTAATATTTTAAATGTGTTACTGACTTTAAGAATGTAAGTAAATTTTCAATTTATGGTAGAATAAAAACAACATTTATGTAATTGTACATATAAAATCTTGAAGGGGAAAAATAAAATTGAAAGTGAAATATTAGTTTATAACATGATGAAAAAGAAAATGATTTTAATCCAAATTTAAATATTGAAAGATAATAATTCAAGAGAAAATAACTATAATATGTTTTGAAATCAATTAAAAATAAATAAAATATCACAATATGAATAAAAAAATAAAACAAAATATATAAACCTCCCGCGCGCAGCGCGGGTCAACTGCTAGTAAAATTATAAAGAGGAAAAATAAAATGAAAGTGAAATATTAGTTTATAACATGATCAAAAAAAAATGATATTTCATAAATTGAATCAAATGCTTTTAATCCAAATTTGAGTATTGAAAGATAATAATTAAAGAGATAATAATTATAATATTTTTTGAAAATCAATTAAAAATAATAAAATATCACAATATGAATAAAAAATCAACGAAACAAAATTATAAACCTCCCGTGCGTAGCACGGGTCAACTGCTAGTATTTAATATACTAAAACTAAAAACTCTAAAAATATGATATCATTTTATGTAAAAATTATTTTAGGGACATTAGTATTCTGGTCAAATGTTATTATATGTACACTTTTATTTTGGTCAAATGTTACCATATGGAAACTTTTATTTTGGTCAAATTTGGCACAATTACTAATTTACTACCATATCATTAGATATATTATCTGAAATATGTGTTACCAGGCTCCTGTGTATGTGTATATATCCTTAATCATATAGAAAAGTTTATTACAAATATTTAAGAATGGGAAAATACTTGGTTTTTTTTCTTTTTGTCCTTATTTCCTTTGATTCCATCAATTCATCTTTTTTTCCTCCTTTCTTCAAAACATTTAATATCCAATTTGTAAATCAGCTTGAGTTTCACAAGAAGCTGAGAATTCTATGCAAGACTGGCAGTTTTCATGAAGCTACTGAACCCACTATCTTTCTTAACGTAGGGGAGAGTACTCTAATTAAATTTAGAATGATTCCATTTGTTCCGTTTTGGTGTAATTTTTGGCAGGTAAAAACCAGTTTTTATATTATTTTTTTACATATTTTAGGCACATTAATTAGGGATGAGCTTTTTGTATTATTGAAAAAGATGAATATTTTATAGAATAAATCCTTTTTTCATTTTTCTTTTAGTTCAATCACTAAATAATATTTTCATATGTAATATTCAAAATTTCATGGATTTTAAAAGGTTGAATGGATTTTTAAATGACTTTTATTTTGTTTTTAACGCATTTTGTTTTATTAAGAATCTGCTTAATTGATTGAAAAAATTGGCTCATTAAAATTAATTGGTTGGAGCTATCAACTCTCGATCACTTCTTTTGAGGTTTCATGGAGTGCTTTCAGATATATTTCTTATTTTTTTAAGCAATTCTCTAGCTTTATTTATCATTTTATCCCTCGATCATCTAATGTTTTAGTTGATTTCATTGCCAAAAAATGTTTAAGTGTGTAGGGTTAGAACTTTGGTTAATTTTAATGATTTTGTGCACAAAAACAAGAAAAATGGTAAAATAAAAATAATTAGACTATTTACTCAATACATTGTTGACTGTACAATAAAGTCAAAACAAATTTGTTTTTGTGTTTCAGGGACCAAATTATATACATAATGTATATTTTGAAGCTTTCTTTCCGAGCCAAAAGTTTATAGATAGTATATGTAATGGAATGCACCCCAATGTATGTACGTGGGTTGCAAAAGAACGAGCAGTATATGTCCGCCACAACAATGTTCTAAGAGAAAGATACGGATGGAATACTCCAATAAAACAAAGAGAAATAGCTCCAGCCATTGCACTTACAAGTGAACCAGAATTTGATTCATACGTCTAATAAAATTCTGACTAATTAAAAACATTATGTGCAATCTTGGTATTGTTGTATCATATTGAAAAGAATAATAATAAAATTTGATATTAAGAGCTTTAAATTGAATTTGGGCTTCTCATATTATATAATTTAATATTGTTTATAAATGAATTTTCTAATCTATCTAATTATTTAAACCTTGGTTTCTCGTCTTATACCTCGTTATGTCATATAATCGCAAAAAAAAATCAAAGTTTTAAAAAACGGCAAAGTCAATAATATTTTAGTATAAACTTGCCAACTTGGTGTAGAGTTAAATATTAATGACATTTAAACTTTTAAAAAGTTTCAAAATATTTAAATATTTAAAACTTTATATGTTGCTAGCAATCCTTCTCGTCTTACAACCCGTCCCGTCATCTAATCTCCAAAAAAATAAACCCATGTTTATAGTCCCGTCATTCATACTTCGAAGGTTATAATCTTATTTATAAAGATTCTGAATTATTATCAAAAACATTCTACCCGATGTGGGTTGTTGTACATATGCTAAAAATGTTTGTAATATATGTCCGTTTAAAAAATTTAAATTGCAATATATGCAAAAAAACTGTATTTTTTATTATACATATGTTTTATGTAATAAAATAAATTAAAAAATAAAGAAGATCACATAAAAAATTTGGAGAAAATAAAATAAAAAATGATATTATATTTATTAGGGAAAGATTTCAGGAATTTTGTTAAAAAATGCTTTTTATTAGTTTTCAAAATTTTAACTAGTAATAAATTTTAGTGGAATGCTTTATAAATAATTTCAAAGTCCATGAATTATTTCAAAAAGTGCTGCAAAAATGTTAATATAGATTAAATATTAGTCTAGGGACACTAGAATTTTAATCAAATGTTATTATATGGAAACTTTTATTTTGGTCAAATCTTACCATATGGACACTTTGGTTTTGGTCAAATTTGGTACAATTACTAATTAGTAATTTACTAATTACCATATCATTATATATTTTATTTAAAATGTGTTAGGACTAGGAGGCTCTTGTGTAGGTGTATATATTCTTAATCATGTAAGAAAGTTTTATTACAAATATTTAAGAATGGGGAAAATTTTGGTTTTCTTTCTTTTTGTCCTCATTTCCTTTGATTCCACAAATTCATCTTTGCCTCCTTTCTTCAAAAGATTTCATATCCAAATTGTAAATCAGCTTGAGTTTCACAAGAAACTGAGAATTCAGTGTGCGAGTGGCAGTTTTCATGAATCTCGTCTTCCCACTCTCTATCTTAACACAAGCGAGAGTATTCTAATTAACTTTAACATTATTCCATATGTTCCATTTTGGTGTACTTTGAGGCAGGTAAAATCCAATATATATACATATTATTAGGCACATCTATTAAGGATGAGCTATTTGGTATTATTGAAAAAATCGAATTTTTTTTATAGAATTGATCATGTTTTTCATTTTTCTTTTAGTTCAATCCAAAAATAATTATGGTCATATGTAATATTAAAAAATTTCATGAATTTTAAAAGGCTGAATGGATTTTTAAATGACTTTTATTTTGTTTTTTTTAACTCATTTTGTTTTATAAAGAATCTGCTTAATTGATTGAAAAAATTGGTTCATTAAAATTAATTGTTGGAGATATCAACTCTCGATCACTTCTTTTGAACCTTCATGGAGTGCTTTCAGATATTCTTCTTAGTTTTTAGCAATTCTCTAGCTTTGTTTATCGTTTTATCCCTCGGTCATCTAATGTTTTAGTCGATTCCATTGCCAAAAAATGTTTTAGCGTGTAGGGTCTGTAACTTTGGTTAATTTTAATGATTTGGTGCACACAAAAAAGAAAAAATTGGTTAAATTAAAATTAATTCGACTATTCACTCAATACATTGTTGACTGTACAATAAGTCAAGTAATTTTTGTTTTTGTGTTTCAGGGACCAAATTATATACATAAGGTATATTTTGAAGCTTTCTTTCCGAGCCGAAAGTTTATAGATGGTACATGTAACGGAATGCACCCTAATGTGTGTATGTGGGTTGCAAAAGAACGAGCAATATATGTCCTCCACGACCATGTTTTAAGAGAAAGGTATGGATGGAATACTCCAATAAAACAAATAGAAATCGCTCCAGCCATTGCACTTACAAGTGAATCAGAATTTGATTCATATGTCTAATAAACTTCTGAAAACTAATTTAAAACATTATGTGCAATCTTGATATCGTTGTATCATATTGAAGAGAATAATAATAAATTTTTAGATTATGAGTTTAACTTGAATTTGGGCTTCTGATATTATATGATGTAATGTTGTTAAGAGAATAATAATAAATTTCTAATCTATCTTATTATATAAACTTTGGTTTTCACGATCTATACGACTTCAAGTAAGGATCAACTAAATATAGTAATCAGTAAATGAAAAAGTCGTTAACGCTATATACAATTGACTCATCTCTATTTGGGGCGAGTGACATAAATTATGGTAAACTATTTGATCATGTTAGCAACTTACAAATAAGGAGAGAAGAACAAACCCATCAACAACTCCTTTTTACTGTACATAAGAGATCTAATTTGCAGCTCACTAATTGTAATAAATATATATTTAGACACAAAGAGACATAAATTGATACTTGACCACATATAGTCACTTAATTATTTTCTGGAAATTTTCAGGCTTAAGAGACAACTCTTGATAACATGAAAAGAACATCAAAGTTTAGCCTACAAGACATCACAAATAACGTTTGGTTTACACTGGCACCTCCTTCTAAATAATAATACGCATGCACACGATAGTTTTTGAAATTTGGAGAACTAAATAATTATATGTTTAATCATGTTTAACCCTTTAACGATTTTAATTTGTTTTACAGGAAACCATGAATTATTTCTAATTCATGTACAACAAAAACACCAACCATCTAAATATGTGTTAAAAGAAAATTAATTCCCCAAAAATAACTTAGAAGAAGAATTTGTTTGTTTCACATTCTTTAGACCATCTCCAATGGTTTTTGCTATTTTTTCATCTATTATAGAGGAACTATATAATAGAGGTGACTTTTGCTCCAATGGTTTCCTCTATTTTTTCCTCTATAATAGAATATTCCAAATAGATTCTTTTAAAATCTTAATATTAACACCATCTATTTATAAAAGTTGCAAATTAACCCATTTACTTTAACTTTTATAAAATTTTAATAAAATAATTATTTTTATTTAAATTAAACATTTATTATAAAAACATTATATTATATATTATTTTTTAATGAAAAATACATCACACTATATAAAAAAAGTAATAAGATACTAGATTCTTAACCATCAGCATAAGTGTATTTTTCCCACAAATGATCAACTAATGTATTTCGAAGTGAGAAATGAGCTTTTTTATCTTTTATTTTTCTGAATCGACCTAGAAACTCTTGGAAACGAATATCATC